ATACGAATAGAGTGACCACAAACCCTGGGTCTGAATTGACAGATGCCCAGAAGCAGCACACTGCCCTCAGATCACCTCCTGTGACCCCAGGCAGTCTTCTCCCTCGGTAATCAGAGGTTAGCCGCTCCTGAGCCTTCATCATTTGTTCTTCACTATGTTTTAATCATTAAATGAATATTAAAACATAACTTGTACAAACTGGAATGGGAACCTACAAATATGCATATCCAGGGCATAAACCTGAGTGTGGTTTGCTACTAAATTTGCATTAAAAATGTAAGTTTACACAACTGTACTCATATCCACAACTATATGGGTCGCTATAAGATTTACTATAGCTCAATAAGTACAACATTGTGTTAACGGTAAAGATCATGGGTTCAGATCCCAGAAAACACTAATGCATAATACATGCAAAGAATGCTTTTAAATTTAAACCTCAGCATTATTCCAAGGACAGAGCTGCTCAGGCAGCCTGGCTTGGGCTGCATCACTTCACATTTCACTTCCTGCTGTGAGCAGGACACATCTCCGTGCCCATTGGCCACACGACACGGATACTTCCAGAAGCCCAAACAAAACCTCCACCAAAAGCCCGCCGCCCTCGTGAGACCACAGCAGGCGAAGGTGCGCCGTCGATATCTACATGTACTGCTGGAGCTAATCTTACAACACAAAGAGCTTCCAAGTTTGCTGGCAGAAGTGCAGGGTTCATTTGCACATTGCAGGTCAGAATGTGACCATGTGGCCAAAACACTACAAGCTAAAGACCCTGGCAGGTGGACGGTTGCATTTATGAACAAGCATCAGGGTAGAAAGATCCACCTGTATCATAATAACATAAAGATTATTTCAGTGGTGGCTTTGGCAACAATTTACCGTACTGCTAAGCAGCCTTGACTTCTGTAAACCATCTGAAGGCTCTGCTATAGCACTCCCCCACACTCGCTGTGGGTCTATATGCAGCCCCCTGCTCTATTATTAGAGGGGGTTATTAACACAGAGTGTTTATTCACACACCTGCATGCGCCACTCACACATGCCTGCAATCCCAATGCCAAACTGAAATCCCCAATAAATAAAAAAAAAGTCTTAACGATTTTCCTGATGGGAGAAAAACAAATTCTATAAACAGGACTGTAAACTGTAGTGGCATCTTAAATCGGTAATCCAATTTTTTTATGTTTAATTTTTATGTTTAATTTTAATTTTGGAATACACTGCAGTAGTTGTAGTTTCAGGGTTAAGTCCCTGGGAGCTCGCTCAAGCAGTACCCTTGACCAAACTGCTTAATCTCACCTCAGAAAAATATTCAGCTGCATAAATGGGTTAAAAGAAAAGCCATAGGAAACTTTGCATGAAATATCAAGAGATAAGCAATTAAATGTATAAACTGTTCGTTGATGCTGCATTTTTATAGAGAACTGTCAATTTTGCATGCATCATTTTGAAAATGAAAATATGTATCATTTTGTAGTGCATTGGGGTCACTTTGGAGCCGGTGGATGTTGCACCTCCAGCTATGATCTTTTAAAACCCTTATTAGGGATCAGCGATGGTTACAAAGGACTTATATTACTGATATTTTCAAAATATAGGGCCCGTTCCTTCCTATGAGACGACCCACTGAGATCTTTGTGGGGTGAAGCAAATTTAGGAAGAGCCTACCTGCACAGATGCCTCTTTGGATTTCCGCCAACAAGACGGAAATGCACAGTTGAGTTTTCACAGCCTCATGAGATCCTGGAATGCATGCTCTAATTCAAAACCGACATAAGGGAATGAAGCAATGATTTTTTTTTTGTCATATGAAAAAATACAGTAAGTTAGCACAGCCGGCGGTAAAATAAACCATTATGCTGATAAATTACTAAATGTCAGTCCCTCCATTTTTCAATCACTCATCCTTGTCAGTGTCACAGGTTAAAAAAAAACTAATAAAATATAATTTAATAGGTTTTGTTCTCTGTTGACTGACTAACATAAAAAGAGTTATCCATATATGCTAAGCATGCATCAGGCCTGTTCAGTAATTAAGAGCTAAAGCACGATAAACCAGTTCATGACATTGCTGGGATTCCAGCATTCCAGTGCTGTTTCTCTACAGCACACAGCAGCCATTCTTATGTTGTGCTGGGAGCCGCTGAGGGAGGCTGCCATTGCTACCAGACCCTAATACACCAATTCAGCTTGCCAATCCCCCCCTCACCCACACCATATGCATCTCTCCTCACCTCCCAGCACAGACGCACACAGGCCCAGGTCCTCCCGGCACACACTCCCATTACATCCAGTCCAGCTGAGGCCTAGCTCAGTGAGCCAAACATACCGAGAGCTTCGGGTCATCGCCAGGCAAGCTGTGTTTTGGAAAGACTTATTGTGTAAAGCAATCCCTCCCCAACTACTAGCCAGGCCAATTTAACTGTGCCCTGCCTAAAATGCTGGGTGAAAATTCCTTCAGACACCTTACCCTGCCCCCCCCAACCATGACTTAGAGAGAGGGCTTGAGAGTAAGGGTGTGAAAATCAATACCGAAATATCAATTTTTTCAATCTCAGTGTTTCATTTGGAGATTTGATTTTAACATTAAAATCTCATTTTTTAGCTGCTAATTTAAATGTGTATATTATAGTGTCTGGGAACAGGACATAAACTACATCCAAGCAGAGGAAGACTTTCAGGGTCCCAAACATGAGTGAAAGGAACAACCAATCCCCCAGCATATCCCTCCCAAATTTTATCATCAGCACCACCAGCAAATTTTACTGTCAGGGTTGGGCTAGCACCAGATATCGGTGTAGGGATCAGTATAGGCCAGAGGTGGAAAGTTCAGGTCCAAGACAGTAAAAATTCAGACCAAGGTTTTGTTTCAACCAACTGGTTGAGTACTCCAACCAGTTGAGCATGAAGAGTCACAGTCACAGAGTACCTTGGCCTGGATTTGTACTTTACAGACCTGAACTTTCCATCTCTGGTATAGACGACACCACCCTTGGTATCAGATCAAAAAGAAAATCAGCAGTATCGCCTATCCCTGAGTGGGACTGAGAAGGAGAGGAGCAGGAAGGCAGCAGAGATGGTACAGACTTATTTAAACAGAAATGAATACAGAATAAACCTCCTCCATATCATTCTGTTGAGTCGCTCGTGTGTCGAGTCGAGTTGCATGTACGTCTGACCCAGAGACAGCGCTCCACCGTAGCAGTCTCAGTAATCTTCCTCAGAGTTTGTCATATTTGGTCCAGCGTAAATGACGAGGTAATTGAACAGTTATTTCAGCTAACGGTATTTTAGTGCATGACTGCATGGATCTTGATAAGTATATGGTAATGACTATACAATTTTATGCTGTTAGCAGGAAGCCATCAAAAAATTTTTCCTTCTTTTTTGTAATTTTGTAATTGTACCTTATCAAAAAAATCGTCCATATTAAAACTATTGGGTTAGGTGTCGGCGTAAAACAATTATTTTAATAATACAACGTCTACTTACCCACTTTGACCTTACCAAAATGGCGGTTTGTATATGTTCGTTTTCTTTTTTTCTTTGCCGTGGTTCGTGACCAAATAAAAGGCGCATTTTGATGACGATGTTTCAGCGACACGTGTGAAGAGATGGCAAGTTCGTGTTGTGAAAGGTAGTTATAAGGTAATTTCACTACAGAAATTGGCAGATGCATCAAACGAACATTTTTTCCTAACATCTTTTCAAACAGGAATATTATCCGTCATTTAATATTGTACTCGAGTTTAAAGCACCAGCGTAATATGGTAGAGTCTGATTTCACAACTTGTTTACTTTCAGTTAACAAGTTTCTGTTTGGTAAATATAGTTGTACAATACAAAAGCCTACGAAAATACTTCCATAACAGACGGTCAGAGGAAAATGACAAGCTCTCAGTGCAACTACAACAGTAGTATTTGTTTAGTTCCTTTGGTTTAATTACGATGGTAAGAGAACCATTTATCATAACGAATAAAGATTTTTATATTGCCAGTTAGTGTCCTCGAATTGTATATGGTAAATCACAGTAATTTTCGTGCTAAGTAGCGATAGTATTAGGTGGTATAGTGAATAGTTTTACGGCTAATTGTACAAAATCATTTGAAATATGCGTAAAGAACACGTTCTTTAAAAACTGCAGTGTCGTTTAACCAAAAAATGTTTCATGCAGATTTTTCGCCTAATATATAAGGCGGAAGTGACTAAGCATGTCGAGTGATACGCCTGACTGCGCGCAGCCCGAAGCGGAGCGGCGTGGTTCTGATGGGGACAACACGGTGGAGGGCGCGGAGGACCCCGAAGGACAGGCCGCGGAAAAGGAGGCGGAAGGCGGCAGCGAAACAAACGGGACAGAGCCCATGTCAAAGAGACAGAGGAAGCGGCTGCTGAGGCACCAGCAGTGGGAGGAGCAGAGGGACCTCCGCAAGTAATACTTTGATTACTGTGCTGCTTTCTTATTTTTAACACTGCTGAGTTTTTAACAAGATTTTATTCCATGCACTGTTACAAAAAGAATACCAAGTTGTACGTGGGGCTGTACCCTCAAGGGTCTGCCAATTGTACCCTAGCTGTAGGTAATAAATGTACCTTTTCATCTAATATAAGGTACAGAAATGGACTCTGGGGAACATCCCCAAGATTCAAACAACATTAATGTACCTGCAGTGGTACAAAAATGTTCCTCATAGTCCATTTCTGTATCTTAAAAGGTACAATTACCTAGAACAGGACTATGCAACTCAAGGTCCGAGCCCTGCTAATTTTCCAGCCTTCCTTCACCTGTGAGCCATGTGTGAAGCCTCAGGCCAATCAGAATCAGTAATTATTAGACTGCCTACCTGGGAGAACTGAAAACACGGCCTGGATTTGGAATCAAGGTCCGGAGTTGAATAGCCTTGATCAACAGGGTACAGCCCCAGTGACAAGCAAATGTACAAATTGGTACTCTCTATTTGACAGTGTACTGCCTGATTTAATATATATATTTTTTTAGCTTCACCATTACAGTTATGCGAAAAACCATAGATAGCAGGCCAGGTGTAGGTGCTGGTCGTCCTAACCATGCAGACCTCATTTCTGTGTGTCTGGGAAGGCAGAGGCGCAAGGAGAGGAAGCAGAAAAGGCGGCTGGGGCGCCCCCTGCAGGCGGTGGATGGGGTGGAGTGGATGCAGCGGAAGCGCCTGCGCCGGGAGGCCACACCCAGCAGCCTCCGTTTGGTGGTGGATTGTAGCTTCGACAGTCTCATGCCATTGAAGGTGACTGCAGGTCGTGGGGGTGGGTTACTAGAGCTTAATGGGCTTCCAGAGTTGCATGCTGGAATGTTTATTGATGTTAAATAATAGCATTGAAGGGGGCTTGGAGTATGACTTTAATTTTTTTTTAGGATGTTAAGAAACTCCACAAGCAGATCCAGAGGTGCTATGCTGAAAACAGGAGAGCTTTACACCCTGTGCAGGTCAGATTGCATCCCAATCAATGTCCGGGTTCTCCTCAGCAGTGATCGTATTTAAATTATGAGCAAAGGACTACCGCCTTCAAATGCAGATGTCTGTCTTTCCTCAGTTCTATCTGACCAGTCATGGTGGACAGTTAAAGCAGAATATGGATGAGAATGACAAAGGATGGGTGAACTGGAAGGTATGCTCTCCTGCTGGATTTCTTTCCATTTGTAACTCTCTTCTGCAATCTCGACGAGAGATTACACCTGAAATGTTCTGTTTGATACCTGGTAACCTGTTGTGTTTAGTTTTTGTTGGATTTTTAGACTGGGCTTTTGGACACTTGCTAAATAGCAGTTGAAATGTTAGTCTTTAATCATCTCTGTGTGGCGCTACAGCCACCACAAAGGCTTGCACTTGTAGCTGCAGTTAAAAACACTGGGCACTTTCATGCTGAAGTTCCAGAACCTGAGTCCTCGGTGCAAGTTCCTAGGCTGTCTCACCTGGGAACTTTTGCAGTTCCTGGCCAATTTTGAGTGTTGCTTTCACACCACACAACAGTAACTGGGACCTTTATGCTAAGTATTGGTAGACACAAACAGCTTGTACGTTAAATTTCACACACAATTTCATACAAAACTACACCGCTACTGCAAATTAAAATGATGAACAAGTCGTTTTGTTGGTGTTTGTTAGTTACTGGGGGGATCGATCGCAATCATAATGAGATGCAGTCTGTATTGTATTTATACGACCCACAAGGTGTTTCTAGTTTATTATGGCCAGTAGACAGCTCTTTCATTTTCCTCAGAATAGAAAATGATGTAACAGTATTCCGCCAGCAAGCTCTGGCAATTTTCACCATTGGCAATATTAGACAAAAGTATACAGACGCTCCTCTACTTACGAACTTTCAACTTACGAACGAAGAGGACTGCAAGTCCAAATTGTGTTCCTTGGGCTCCCGTTTCCTGTCCACATTTTTTTTCCTGTACGCCAATTCCTCCTAGCACACCTAGTCTGGCCGCTACTCCCGCCGTGCAGCAGCATAGCGTGCGTACTCCCAGCATCCTAGCTCTTTGTACTCGTGTATACCCTTCAAATGATGTTGAATAACGACTTACGAACGTTTCAAGTTATGAACGGCTGTTCGGGACATAACTCATTCGTAAGTAGAGGAGCGTCTGTATTTGTTATTGATCGTGTTTTCAAATGCAGAGATATGGAGGCACAAGCAGAAAGGTAATTATTGGTGCATTAACCCTATGGAGTGAACCAGGGGCCCCTTGCATGGGGGGGCATTTCTTCCCTCTT